TGTGTGTGTGTGTGTGTGTGTGTGTGTGTGTGTGTGTGTGTGTGTGTGTGTTTTCATCTACTTCAGATACAAAACAGAAGTTAAGCAAATTAAGATAAGGTAGGTTAACACAACTTGGCATAGGATGTCAGAACAGATAGGTGGCAAGCCCACACTGATTTGTATGGGCCTATGCATCTTTCTCACTGTCTGCTCATCAGCAGTTCTGTTTATCACCTGAAAGCCAGGACCATCATTGAGATTTGAAAAGGGATACCCACAGCTGGCAGTAAACTCTTGTTTGTGGGAGAGATAAAGGGGAAAATATACCTGTCCACCACTAGAACTTGCCAATCAGAGAAACTTGCTACCAAAGAAACAGTTAGGATTTCCCCCTGTATTTCCTAAGTAGAACCTATAGATGATACATGGCAGAGCATGGGCTTTCCATCTCTGTGAGCCTAGTACTCATTTACTCTATCACATAGTCTTTGTAGTCCATGGATCTTTTGCATATCTTATAGGTTGCTACTTTAGGACTTATGCCTGTATCTCTCAAGCTGCTTGCTTATCTGTAGGTGACTACAACTGTATATATTTCAGAAGCTATGTACATGCTGTGTTAACACTATACATTTTTTCCCACTCTTGTGTCTCTTATAATGCATTCATATAGTACATCAAGTATACATTACATGAATGTTAGTTGTGGAATTTTTGATAGCCTAGACTACTATACAATTTGTATTTTTCCAAGTTTGTTTCATATCCCTGTAATATCTATCATGCATCAGAGGATTCATATAACAGGTAGCTCTATTGAAGGGTTCCTGCAACTAATGGAGCCCCAACACCCTGAAAGGGAAGGATTGTTTTCTTAGTGCCTCTTGGAAGAATGTAAATAGTAGCTGTAGTATGTAAAGGTTCTACCTGTGTTTCTAAGAATTGTTAGACTGTGCCAGAAAAACAAAAACAAAAACAAAAAAAAAAAACCTAGAAATAGCTGTTTAGGACAATATACAGTATTTATTTTTCTAAAAACTCTTGTAACCCTTGTTAATGTTTTAAAACATTAAATTGAAATACAAAAGATACATTGGTAATCTATAATTAACAATTATGAAATGGGTTTGTATTTCTAGCACCCACTTAAAGCTATGTATGGCTACGTGTGCCTGCAACCACATTGCTGAGGACAGAAAAAGGAAGCTTGCTGAGGCTTGCTGGCCAGCCAGCCTAATCAAAAAGTGACAAGCTCTAGGCTTGGTGGAGGACCCTGTCTCAAAGTGATAAAGTGGAGAATGGTAGAGCAGGCCTCTATCTAACATCCTCCTCTGGCCTCTGTATTTGTGTGTACTGGAGGTCATCCCGGCACACACGTGCATACACCAGACACATGTAACCTAAAACAAACATGTTTAGCATACAGTAAATTTATATAGCATACACAAAACACATACAGCAGTCATCAAACACATGCAGCATGCACAAACACATACAGCATACACAAACACATACAGGAATTTAAAAAACATCTTCTGTAAAAGTTTGTCCTGTTTTCCACAAATGATACTAAAGATTGTGTAAGACTTACAGAAGTTCCTGTCTTGTTTTCTGCTCAAAGAAGAGCCTTCTACCCCAAGCTAACAGAGGGCTTAGAACATAGTGCTAAGTTGACTGAAAAACTCAGAAGCTTCTTTCTCTTTCACTCAATCAGATAAGCAAGGCTTTGCATAATGGCCTCATTCAGGGCTAGCTTCTTATGTGAATCTACCATTCCCTAAAGCCCTGTTGTTCTTTTGGTTCAAACTGATTCCACATAGTACCTGTGTGGCTGCTTGTGGAGAAAGAATGGAAAGCAAGCACTTCCATTTCAAGGTTGAGATAGATGTTTCTCATAGGAGCTCTGTGTGCCTCCATCTGCCCACGCTGTACCATAAGCACATCCAAGAGAGCTTCTGGGGTGCATTGTGCTTCTGGGTGGGGTGTCCTTTGAGCTAATAGGATAAGGAAGACCAAGGTCAGCATTGTTCAGTGCCACAGTAGCTCTAAATCCAAAATCACTTATATCTTATTCAGTACTTGAAGGGTCAAAGTGTATAGCTCCAAGGTCAGAAACCTGGTTTAGGCATTGTCAGTAACTAGATAAGATCCTCAGACATCTCAGGTAGTTAGACTAGCAGGAATTTGAGACAGTTGCTGTTAAAATAGTCTCAGTTTCTGACCATGTCATAAGTAACGTGTAGTTTTAGCCTTTCTTCAGTTTTTGAAATGTGTATTTAGCCATGCCATTAGCAATTAATGTGGAGAAAAATACAGTTGTTTTGAATTCTGGTTGAAAATTGAGATAAACATGGTCTGTGGTATGGAGAGTGACTATTTGGATGCACAATGTCTTAAGCCCTTTGCATTTCTATTCAGGTTTCCCGTTTCTACTGACGTAAGTTTTACTGTATATATTCTATTTTAGATGGAATCATCTTAGACATCCTTGAAAATGGAGCCACATTTTTCCGTAGCATTGAACTTCGCTCTTCTCTAAAGACTCCTCCATCAGGAGCAAAGACATTAATATGCACATTAAACTCTAGTTTGTACAAATATACATCCAATTTTTTCAAAACTGTGATAGTGAATATTCCACTCAAAAGATGTCTTCATTGTGAAGTATTTTACCACTTAAATTATGCTGCCCAGTAAGGTAACTTTGGCCTTTAGTTGACTGATACTTATGCTTTCTCTATGACAACAAATGAAAACTGTTTTTATATCATACTCTAAAAGAAATGGGCATTTATTTACATGCTAGATTAAGTAATAGGGTTAAAAACTAAAAACATTTAAATTTGCTTTTCTTAGGACATGTCAGCTCAAGGATCCTCCTCACAGCTTCCTAAACCTTTTGATCCAGAGCCAGAAGCTAAATATGGCACACTGGATGTGACTTTTGACTATGACTCACAAAGACAGAAGCTTCTGGTAACGGTGACAGCTGTCACAGACATTCCAACATATAACAGGACAGGTGGCAACTCGTGGCAGGTACATCTTGTTCTTCTACCTATAAAGAAACAGAGAGCCAAAACCAGCATCCAGAGAGGACCATGCCCTGTCTTCACAGAAACATTCAAATTTAACCACGTTGAATCGGAGATGATCGGAAACTATGCAGTTAGGTTTAGACTGTATGGTGTCCATCGTATGAAGAAAGAAAAGATTGTGGGGGAAAAGATTTTTTATTTAACAAAATTGAATCTTCAAGGGAAAATGTCATTACCGGTGATATTGGAACCTTCTTACAATCCTTCTGTGAGTATCTCATCAAATGACCCGGATACAGTTTCTGTTTATGGCATGTAGCACATGCCACAGGAGAAGTCTATAACCAAACCCACTTCTTCCATACTGTGTCATTTCCGTAGCAACCAGACACATCTATCTGAGCCCTTCTGTTTTGTGTCAATTTACTCCATGTGCTTCATTTTCTCCTTCTACGCTCTCATGCAGGTCTTTGCATTCATTCCTGTTGACTGCATTAAATGGTTGATTGTGCATTGTCCAGACTCACTACAGAAGTTACCCTTTTCCTTCCAGGTTAAACTAGATGGCACGGAGGAGCTGTCTAGCCCATTTTAAAAAGAGTGTATACTGCTGCCCAAGACAGAATTATTTTTCTAGAACTACCATAAAATTAATTTAAAAGTAAAAAAAAAAAGTCCTTGTTATACTTTTCATCCTTTTTGAGAAAAGACAAGTATTTTTCAGTGAAAAATTATGACCTCAAGCTTTTTAATTTTTTTGCAGATTATATTCATACACTATATATTTCTATATATATATTTTAACAAAATTCCCACAAGGCATTGCAGATTACAGGAGAGTAATGACTGCATTGTTTATTTAAACCAGGGAGATGCGTTATGTCACATAGTTATTTCAGTATGAGAAAATCTGTGACTTGGGTAAGTGTAAATTATGACTTATATTTATTCCTTTCTGTGTTATATTGGAAAAGAAACATTTTATAATGTAAATATGCAGACTTTAGAATAGATTTAAATTTTAAATTAGAGGTCTGATGTTTCACGGTTGTTTCTAAGCTTTGACCATGTGAGCCAGAAGCCTGGGCTCCGGCCCATTGCATCATACCAGGCAATATCTGAACCTGCCAGCTTCCATTCACCATGCAGCCAAGCTACTTCAACCAGATCCTTGCAGGATCTTTATAAGGAAAAGATGATGGTAGGTTTAATATTTCAGTTTTATTGACAGAATTAACACATCATTTAAAAATTTTAGAATAAGCAATTTTGGGGAATTGCCTTTTAAAACATTTTTTGTTCTTGAGAATTCCATACATTTGTACAATAAAATATGATCATATTTCCCCAATTTCCTCCCGTGTCTCCTTCAACATATCTCCATTCCAACTGTATGTCTTCTTTTAAATAACCCACTAATTGCAGTTAGTGCTGCATATAAATGTGGGGCCATCACTGGAGCATAGGACTCCTACCAGTGGCCTGCATATTTAATAATTTCATTTTTCTTTACAGTTGAGTTGTATTTCACTGTGTAAATGCCTTTTTAAATCAGAGTGCTTTATAAGAAGAAACAAAGGAGGACCATGTAGACAATATTTTAGGGGTATACATTTTTATAAACATGAAATATTCTGCTATTATTAATCCAGTTTTTAAAATTTTTTACTATCTAGTATGGATAAGTAGTAGTTTTCTATGGAGAACAGGCTCTTACATAATAATGACTGAGTTAAATTAGAAGAGAAAGACTGGCATCAAAAACTGTGTTCATATTGCTTTGATGACTTCATCTGTTCCCAGTTCTATATGAATTGTATTCTTTGCCATAAACAATAGTACAGTTTTATCTCTGCTCAAACTAAATGTCTCCTTCATTGCATGTATTTACTCTGTAGTCATGGATTCTATAATATTTTTGGCCAGGCAGTACAGTAAGTTCCTAAAGGCTACTTACAAGAAAGTGCTAGGTAAGTAGCTTCTAAAACATACAATGTGCATCTGTAGAAAAGTGTCTGTCTTCTGCTCTTAGAAATTTCCCCTAGGTACCAGTGTGCCTGTCATATTTAGTAGCTGAATCTCATTGCTCTTTAGCCTTGCTTTGCCCTTCCCACCCTTTCAGAATCTTAGAACTGGGCACATTTAAGTTTGTAGGCCAACTTATAACACTATTATATTGAATGTAAAAATATAGTATCAATAGAACTCATGTATTTTCTGTGTGTGCCATAGTACTAATGTTCTCTTTGCTTTCTTTTAATATAAGCTAAATGGAGAATTCTTGTTATTGTAATTTACTTGAGAGAGGTCTTTGATTCTGTAAGACATGTTTATGAGGTACATTTGTGGGGGGAAAAAGACTACTTCCATATTTAGTCATTCATTCTGGTAGCTTTGTAGTGATTGTTTATTGTTATTATTGTAAGAATATTAACCTTTCACCAAGGAAGTTTTAATCCAGCACCTGAACTTACAAATTACTTTTAAAATGTGCTTAAAGTTTACAATTTATTTCATAGATATTAATATAATACACACATAGTATTTAGTTTCATAAATAGTTTTTCAGAACTTGAGTCAGGACACACAAAAATGACTTTTTAATAACTCTGTGATAGTTTTTGCTCCTGGAAAGATTAAAACAGCATTGAAATGTGGCTATAGCTTGAGTCTGCCTCCTTGACCAGTGCACATAGAAAATATGTTGAAAGTTGAAAGATGTGACTTCCTTTTCAGCCAGCTACATAAGCTTTCCAAAGTATTTTAAACATCAAATTTCTGATGACTAAAATGAAAGGATTTAGACCAGTGACCTTTAGGATGTGTTTGTCTCTGGTATTCTGATTCTACTAACATTATGAAAGAAGTTAGTAAAGAACAGAAATGGGATAAACTTTATCACATTTGTTTATTTAATGGTGTGTATTTTTATGTGAGTGGGTAGGTGAGGTGGATGCATATATGCCATAACACTTGTGTGGTAGTCAAGAGGACAGTTTTCAGGACTTGATTCTCTCCTTTACCATATGGGTCCTGAGGATCAAATTCAGGTCATCAGCCTTGGTGCCAAGTGCCTTTATCCATTGAGCCAGAAATGGGATAAATTTTAAGTGTTTACACTATCATTTTTTGCAGTGGACATGTACTGTTTTCTAGCTTTTCCATACTTTTTCAACTTTCTAAAGCGTGAGGGAGTCCACCTCCTTTAGACACTCTGTAATACTCACTTTCCCAGGTTTATATGTGTTTAGAGCAAGGTATTGAGGTCTTGATTTACTTTTGATGTTTGTTTTGTAATAAAATATGAGCCAGAAAAGTACAAAGGGAATCTCATTTTTAAAGGTTAGAAGTAAAGAAAAAAATTTAGTACATGTTCAGTCTTTGTGTTCTTCATGCTATAGACTCCATAGGACTTGTAATAATCCAGGAAAATACCTGTTGCCTATTCCAGGTAAAGAATAATCGTGTTCATAAGAATATTGTAGATAATAAATTAGTCTTTACATTTCTTGTTTGTTTCAAGAAGATTTAAATTTCTATCACTGGACATGCACATGTTCCTGCAAGTCCTCCCTTGTCTTTATTCCATTCTTGGACCTGTTGAAGGAAAATGCACATTCACAGGTGTTAGGTATGCAGTGTTCCTCCAGTGGAAAGCCTAGTCACCCTTACCTCCTTGTTAGCAGTCCAGGTGGGCGTGCTACCCATTTTGGGCACTTTGCAAGGTTGTGGTGATGATGAGTGTGACAAACAGTGAGTGTGGAACCTTTGTAGTTACTGTAAATAGGAGTTGCTATCCTGTGATTAAACAGTATCCCTACTTAGTTTGAATAATTCTAACATTTTTATGCAGATTTATCATACCTAATATTTTCTGGTGTTGCTAACCATTGCAAATATAATGATTATTTTATTTTCTTTCTTAGGCTCAGAATTTGGGTTTTATTCTATTATAAAATTACCTGACATCGTATAATCAAATATATAAGTTTAGGAAAGCTCTATCTTCATATTTCTATATTCGTTTACTTCACTTTAAAGAATCAATGTTACCTATAGGTTAATGTTCCATGTCACTTGCTCATTAGGAGTTCTTCAGTAGATTTAGGCTTTTATAACATGAAAATTTACTCTCTTGGGACATTCTCTTTTAAATCTTATTTAAATACTATGTTTTATAACCAAGCCTTTCCTAAATAACCCAGCTCCAGCCTGTTATCACTGAATGTCAGTGAACTTGAGATGGTTAACAACATGAGAAGTCTTGATACAAATCAGGCAAGTTGGCCAAAACAAGAATGAAAGTAATAGTTTGTTACTGTGACAGCTAAATAGTGACATTTCTTTACTTGTCATTGAAATGATAGTATCATGATTTACCAAAGTGCACACATACTCTCTTCATTTTTATACATATAAGATCAAAGATATCTTGAAAGGGAGATTTCTACCAGGGCCTGAGGGTTAAAAAAAATCCTAAAAGATCACAGGTAGCAAAACAAATGAGGGTCAGAAGGGTATCAGACTTCCCATACTAAAACCAAGTCTTCAAAATTGCAAGAGAAACTTATTTCTCTATTACGTGTTTCATATGTCCTCAGCACAACACTTTGTTAGGTCTATTCCAGGTCTTTTGTGGTGACAGTGCCTGAGAAGACAACTGAAGAACTTACATTGAATAATGGTTTCAGATATTTCAACCCAGAGTCATCTGGCTCCATTGAGGTATGAGGCAAGAGCATGTTGCAGAGGTTGCTCACCTCATGGCTGCCAGCATGCAGAGGCCAAAGGTCAGGGAACATTTTTCCTTTGCCCACTTCCAGTGACCTACTTCCTCCAACTAGAGCCTGCCTTCTTTTTACCACGTCCCAGTAAAGCCATCATAAAAATGCATCAAGGAATTGATCCATGTATTAGGTCAGAGTCCTTATGATCCAGTTGTTTGCTTTCCCAAAGTCCCTAATACAAAGCCTATGAAGGACATTGCATATTCAAAGCATTTATATCCATTTTGCAGATGGCAAAGTAGACAAGTATAACTGTAATTCTCCCAAAGTCACAGTCACATTAGATTGCTTGGCAGTGGGCAAATCTTCCTAGCTCTTTCTAGTTTATTTCCTAAACTTAGGAGGAGGCTCATATCTGAGATTCCCTAGAGTTCTAGATGCTAATCAGATTCTGCAGCTAAACCATGCATCTGTGCATGGTTGGCAAAGGAAAAGTAAGACAGATGCCCTCTTCTCACTCCTCCAGCAAGTCCAAGGAACG